GAGCTCGCTCTTAACAAGGAGCTCGGACTAAGTACAGCGGTCTGGAGTTCGGGCTCGGTAGTGAGTTTGGACTTGCTTCCGATGCTCGCTTTGGGTGCTCTACTGTTCCGAGCTGCTTGCCTTTGCCACGTGTCGGGCGATCGCGAGGTCGGGCCAAATTTCCCTTCATCACTACTGGTCTAATGTTCTATGTTGTTAAGCTATAGGATGGACAGGACAATCAGAATATCCACTCCGATCCGATAAATATTTTGGACCATTAACAGGCAGGGCTGGTCTTTGGTGAAAATCTTATGTCGGAGTTAGAAATTTCTAGCCAGAATTGCCAAGGCCGCCGGGCAAATCACTGATTCAAATGTAACAACGGTCACTTTTCTGCGGGTAATGCAGGTCAGATTCATTTTAATGACACTCCTAAGGCAGAATGGCCCACTACAACACTTGTAATAGTCATCATATAGATTATAGGAGTTTGGTACTTTGGTTGTGGAGTGACTTGCCGACAGAATTACCAGTGAAGTATAGCATTAGAGTCCATGTTTTCAACAGAATCGACCGGCCAACTTGTCCAACACACCAACCAGACTTCCAAGTCTTATTTCACCACCAAACCACTTGCAACTTGCAAAATGCCTGTTACCTGATAACCTCATAACTAGATCAATTTAACCACTGAAATTTCAGGTTACACATTAATTCTCTCTCTCTCTCTCTCTCTCTCTATATATATATATGCATTTTAACCATTTTCATCATTAATAATAGTACATCTTTTTATTTTTTTGGTAAAACAATATTTTTATCACACTTGTTTAATATAATGATGGTATTAAAGGCATGTTCAGTTCTGCCAATTCTCTAAAAATTCCTATAATTTTCTGTAAATTTATCTATTCTGTACCTTTAGTTCTTAATTTATGAAAATATGGCTTAACCCATTTGACTCAAATGGAGCGGTTCTGATTAATGCAACCATACTCATACAGCCAACACGTTTTAATCGTTAATCCAATACACTATCAAAGAAAGGAAAGACAAGTCAAGCCACGCTTGGAACCTCAAATTTACAAAGGAGCTGAGGAAAACCTGCCCCTTAAAAGAAACAATTAAATTACATGGGAGCCAGCCCAACTCAGCCAAATGCAGCGAACGAACCCCACATCTACTTCTATTTCTATATGACTAAATATGTCTTCTACATCACCGTGCTGATATGAATGTGGGGCAACATTCCAACTTACAATTCACTATTCAATACAAACACAAGCATCAACAAATTATCTCCACCATGCCAACGATACGTCAAAGGGGTGTTGTATATGATGCATGAAACTGACAAATGATAAAATCCCTCGCTCCCTACTTGCTAATTAAGGATACCTCTGTGCACCAGGTGGAGCTGTTGGCATTGGGAAGTTGAAGTGTGGAACACCAGCAATGTTGGGAGCCTCCACATAAGGGCTCTAGCAGGTATAATCCAATTGGAAAGGAAAATTAGAGCAAGGAAAAAAACAGCAAAACCCAGTAACAGAAAGCAAAGAAGGGATTGTCCTAAAGGTATGGGACAAAATTCATAGATTTTCTTAGAATACAATCTAGATCATTACTCAAGGATTTGCAGAAGCTGATGAATCTATCAAAAATGTCATCAAATCATTATTTATCAGGTGATCAAATGGTGTAAAAAGATTTGATTTATGGATTAACTATCAAATGAAAATGAAACAAGGAATAAATACCTGGGCTGCGTTTGTTGCATAAGATGGGTACTGAGGTGGAAATTTTGGTGATGAATCAGGAGAACTAGCATCATGGTTCTGTTGACTTTCATTCAGCTTATGAACTGAACTGTTGGGCATAGGTTCATTTTCGCACCCATTGGCTGACTTGGCCCGCTAAATTTTATCATATTCCAATGTAAAATAAGGAACTTGATGAAAAACAGTAATATCATGGATCAAGATACACAAAATAGTACCTGAAATATTTTTCCAAGTGTTTTCAACCCCTTGGCACGAGCACGAAGCTCCTCTTTCTTGATGCTGCTATCTTGAAGGACCTGCAATTTTGCGATGAACATGTTACCACAGAACACATCTGGCAAAAATCAAATTCAGGGGTAGCTATCTTCCACAAATAACAAGCTATGAAGAAGCACAGATGAGAAAAACAAACCATCTGACAAACACGGGAAAGTGTGGCTTCAATGTCGGCAACATTGAGCTTCCACAGAGAATCAATCATCAACTTTTTATGAGATTGTAGGTATGCTTCAAGTTCCTCTTCAGTATAATTCCCCTCTGAACTTAGTTGTCGTTTCATGTCCTCTTGCAGTTGAATCAAAGCAATTGCACCTGCAATAGCCACCAACCTCAATCAATTGATCCGCCAAAAAAGATAATGCCAACAGTTGAATTTTAGGTACCTTGAAACACAACAAAGAGCTCAAAGCAGACATGCATGCAACAATGTACACAGACAAATACACCAAGGATGTATAAACAATACTAGCAAAAACAACTAGGCGTAGTAGTTTTTGGGCACCTCGGGCAGTATGGTGTACCTGTTGCAGCTGTTACTTGAGATTTAATGAAGTGCCCTTTATTCCTAAACCACTCAGCAATAAACGGCACTCCCAAATACATCACTTTCTTTCCAAGCTCCTTTGCTGCCTGTCTTGCATATATATAACCAATTGTGTTCAACATATCAACACCATAAGCTGCAGAAAACAAAGAAACAAACAAATCAGAAGTATAACAACATAAAGGCAAGAAGCATTGGACACTTATTATTTGTTTGAGGAACAGTCAGGAAAATATAAAGAAAAAAAATCATTTTAAATGTATGCAACTGAAAGTTGGACATGTTAATGGTTCCAACTCCTGATATTAAAACTTATAGAAGGATGCGACAGATAAAAGAATCAGAAACAGTCCCAACTGCTTCAAAGAGATAAGCATGTCTAATAAGTCTAATTATACAAATTCAATGGCATAGCCAATTCCTATTTACTATCTTAATAATCCATTCAAGGAATGATGTAAAATTAGACAAGTAGTGGTTGGTTGAGACATCCCCCCAGCCCTTTCCTTTTTCCCCTCTTAGTTTGGGGCCTACAGTACCCAATTTTGCCGCAATTTGCTTCAATGGTAAAATAGGCATGTCCCCCCCCCCTTTTTTCCCTTTTCCAGTACCCAATTTTGCTGCAATTTGCTTCAATGGCAAAATGCCCCCACCCAGAGATTTAGCAGATCCAAAACACAATACTGTAGGAACTACATAGCAGTAAACCTTTAGTGTTTCAAATGCTAAGCAGACAATATGTAGCAGCCAGATATACCAACGGAATAAGCTAGAGAGGATTCACAAAGCTAGAAGCTTATCAACATGGTACCTGCATTAGAAAGCCTTGACACTTCAGCTTCTGCATAACAGATAAAGTCCTCTTTGTGTCCCTGAACATACCGGTTCAGTCGGTCTTTCAATTTCTCTGCAAGCTTATCCTCTCTTTCTTTCTGAACAACCTGCATCAAAGAAGAAGTAAATTGTAAACATTTTTTTTATGGATGATAAAACTGTCAACATTATTTCTGCCCTTAATTAGTCCCCTTCTCCAACCGGATCCAAGAACATTGCCACTTTAAGTAAAGACCCCTCCCTCGAAGGCCCAGGATTCCTCATGCTGCTACCATCAAAATTAAGTTTTATGAAGCCCTTTTTCTGGTGGCTCCCATTGTTTATGTATCACAGCCTTCTTTAAGGATATTCTCACCATTTCCACCCATTTCCTTAGAATATCGTCAATTGCATTCTTTGTATTTTCTATAACTTATGTATTCTTTTTTATTTCTTTTGAAGGGATACACAATGGGGGGTAACCCATCCCCCAACCCAGGTGCAGGGGGGATTCGATCCCATGTCTCCAACCGGCAAGAGACCTTACCAACCAGCTGGTTGGCACCTTGCATTTATGTATTCTTTCTACAATTTTCGTTATTTTTTTCCATTTTCTATAATTTTTGCTATACTTTCCTGTAAATTTCCTTGCATTTTATTTAGTTTCCATAATTTTTGAATTTCTTTTGTGTTTTAATGACTTAAAATTAATGGGTTGGGTCAAGGTGGGTTTGGGTTCAACCCAACCCATTTATTTTTCTTTAAATGGGTCATTAACGGGCCAGTGGGTTGAATGGGTTGGGTTGAAGATCAACTCAAACCCAACCCGCCCAAACCCACCCAATTGCCATCCCTAGCCAACAGAAAACTAGCACATGTCATGCCAAAAAATTGAAGTTAGCCATCAAAAGGCCAATTACAATCACTGAACTGAAGAACCAACCATGTCAAACAACTAGATAATTAGAAATGCCAACAGAATTACCAAATAGAGTTGGCTAGTGGAAAGCCAACTATGGTGAACTCCATAAACCGGAGCAATAACTCGAACTAAAGCCAACTAGATAAAGTGAATCAAAATCCCATGTCACCTAAAGAGATCAAAACTCTGAGGATTTCCTCAACAATAACTCGAACTGATGAGCATAGTGAAGGATCATTACTGAAACATTTCTTCAAACACCTTCCATGCAAAACATGTATGAGGCAAACAAACCAAATGTTGGCTAATGATAATACATCCATCAATAACCAAAATAGTCTAAATATCAAACCAAGCTACAAACAAGATCAGATCAGAACTGATCATAACAATGGGGAACCATTATAGAAATTTTGCACCTTAAACACCAAATAGTCACCTTGAGACCCAATATCACACGTTGATCTTGATCAATGTTTTAAAAGGTGTGGCAGGTGTACGCTTGGAGGTGCACCTCCAGGCGAGTTGCCCCCAAACACCCCGAGGCATATGCTATGGGCATTGACACCTTTGAGGTGTACGCCTCATATGCTTTTTTCATGAGGCGTGCTAGAGGCATATGCCTCATGTGCCTCATGCACACCTCATGTAAAAAGACGGAAAAAAAAAGAAAAAAGGAAAAAAGGAAAAGAAAAGAAAAAGAAAGAAAGAGAAGAAAAAAAGTGAAAAAGAAAGAAAAGAATAGAAAAGGGAAGGGAAGAAAAGATAAAGGGAAAGAAAGTGGGTTGGGGACTCCTTGGCTAGGGGGCAAACCCCCTTTTCTACAAGACCCCTCCCCCCTTCAACTAGTGCTATGCATTTACGTTTTTCTTAATATAAAAGATTTTTATTAAAAATAAAGAAAAACGAGATTCTTCTTCCTCCTCATCCCCCCCTCTTAAGGAGGCTTACACCTCTTACGTTCTAAACTACACCTCACACCTCTAGGTAGTGGAACGCCTTGTGTCACGCCTCCGCATTTTAAAACATTGATTTTGATAATCATAAATAGACTTGAGAAGTTGCAGAGCTTCTATAACATTTCTTTGAAAAGTAAGAACTCCCAAAGGAAACACCAAACTTGACTAAATAATCAGCAGTCAACCTTTAAGAAAATTAATCAAATAATAACATAAAAACCAGAATCTGCTTGAAGATATGAATCATATGCTAGGGAGCATATAACCCACAAGATGAGAAGGAAAAAAATAAATCTTTCCAACCAGATCAGCTTTCCTTGCCTATATGACCCTTTGATCTTTCCTTTTTTTCATATAAAAATGGCATGAACTCTAAAAGCATAAGTCTAGATTCCACCAAATGTGAAAGAATTGAAAGAAGATCCAAATCTGATTTTACTTTTTCCTGGTTTCCGAAAGAAGCAATATCACCCCTTTAGAGGGGTTTGGCAAAATTCCAAAAACAGATGAAAAATACTCACAAATATTTCTCGTTGAATGGTAAAAGTTCCTAACAAAGTGCTTCACAAATTCAAGCACCACAGACCTTGCACGAACAGTAACCATGAATAGTAACTCGATTGCTAGTCTTCCTTGGTTCACCAAACTAATTCCTACACTAAACCTGCTTTAATACCAAGTCAGCTAAACATAAAATAGAATATCAAATCAAGAAGAAAATAAAAAGAAATAGAGAAAACACCAAGATTTAACGTAGTTTGACTTAGTAGCTTACATCCACGGGAAGATAAGGAAAAATATCCATTATGAGAGCAAGAGATACATAGCTGACCTCTCTATAGACTCACAACAAAATATCCATTCTCACTCAACCCTAACCCCACACAACCAATGGATTAAATAAGCAAAAGGCCAAATTATATTAGAATTTAACATAGGCCCCTCTTCCTCCCATAAATACATACAAGTCCCCAAATTTTACCAACACTACAATATACCCCTGTAACCTCCAACACCCCCCTAAAAGAAAACCCAAATACAACAACAATATATCTCTCTACAGTTGGTGTCTCCATAAAGAAAATCAAGTTCCTCAAGATGACGAGATGGGTGACAGAGTTCCAAAAGGCAATGAGATGGAGAACAGAACTAAAACTTGAAGCAAAAATAAAAAAAAAAAGAAAAGAAACTTATTTGAGTAAGGAAGAAGTGGAGGAGCTGCGGCTTTGAAGTTCAGGGAAGATAAGAGAGCCATGATATTCCTAGTGGGTGAAGATGTTAGTTGGCTGAAAGGTTTCGTGGAAGTAGTATATTCTATCAAAAAACAGGGGTGGAAGAGCTCCTTAGGCATAATGAGGAAAGGTTATGAAGAAGAAATGAGGAAAAACATGAAAGGGTGGTTTGTTGCTATAACAGAAGGGAGAGAAAAGGCTAGAAGGCGTTCACTGATAAAATCCAGGAGTTTCAACTAAGGATGGTAGAAGAATAGAAAGATGTAGGTGGGAGGAGGTGAGAAAGTGGCTGTTGAAACAAGAGGTGCTAATAAAACCTTACCCTCTGTTTCACAGTCAAAGGAGATTCAGGAGGAAGGATGGGCGAGATTATGGAGACTTCAACCATTTTTGGCTGATTATAACATAAACCGAAAACTAATATTGAATGAAGATATTGGACATTGGAGGCAACGGATTGTCCTTATAGTTGCAAGAGATATTCTAGATTGGGGAAAGATTTTGTATTGTGTTTTGAAGAAGTTTGAGGTCAAGTCCCTTGCTTCAGTTAGACCGTTCTGCAATCAGAAAGCAATGTTAGACATTGGAAACTTTGGAGGGCTTGGTGATGCTTGAAAGATGGCACACATCTTGTAACCAACTTGACTTTCCTCATGAATTCTTTACTGTAATTCTTTTCGAACTTCCCTTCAATCTCTAGAATGAACAATCTGTTGGAAAAATTATGAAGTTGTTGGGGAGAATCCTTGTTAGTTGTTATTTCAACGATCTTCATGCGGTAAGACTGGTTGTGATGGGGTTAAAACCAGGTGAAATACCCCGAGCTCTAGATATGCTCGTTGACGACTGGTGGTTGAAGGTCTGGCTGATTACAGAATGTAAAGCATCTCTGTGGGAGACTTGATTGAAGGTTGAATATGAAAGCCCATTGGTGGAATGGGGATACATGAAGAAAGAGAGGGGGAGATAAAAAGATGGGAAGGGCAGGTGTTGGAGGAAAATGGGCCCCAAAACCTTTGTCAAGGCGGTCAAGACTGGGGCCATGTCTGAACCTGGACCAGGCCCATAACAAAATAAGATTCAGCTCAACCCTTATAACTCTGAGCCAGCCATGTCTAGACCCATCAACCAGAGCCAGGGTAGTAGGTTTACTAAGTTAATTTAATGTTAAAGGGGTGGAAGGAAGACAAGTCTCACACAAGGTCGTTGGGGAAAACCTCCAAAGCCTGAACAGAAAAAATCCAAACCAAAACAAAAGTTCTTGGTAGGGTGTCCATAAGGGAAGTGTTGAGGATCTTCAAAGGCCTAGTAGAGAGACATTAGGTGGGGATAAGCAACAAATTCCTGAGGGTGAACAAGTAATAACACAGAGGCAGGATGTTCCCAAGTCCCAACAGAAATCTACTACAGAACCTTCCCTTCAGTCTTCTTCTAATCATTCTTGTTCAGGTACAATGGTCATTTCGGTTTTGGATACTGACTTTAGCTCTATGCCTGTCAGCTATCCTCCAGGTTTTCTACAACTGTCAGAGTTGCGAGCCCAGAATATTGCTGATCAAAGGGTGAATGGAGAGATTGAGGATAAGGAAGGAGATGGGCCAATTAAGGTGTTGGATGTGGTGGAGGAAGGCAGAAGAATTTGGGAAATGATAGAGGCTCTATTTGAGGTGTTAAAAAGAAAAGAATCTGAGGCAGAAGGCAGCATTAATAGAATTGAGGAGGGTGGCACTAAAGTTGTGAGGGTAGAGGGGAATGGGAGAGAAAGAGAAGTAGATAGAGCAGGTACAATGGAGAAGGAAGATGGCAAGCATGAGGGTTTGGTGTTCTTTAAGGGCTGAGGTGTTGGCTGTCATGGAGGGAATGCAAAAGGCAAAGGACATGAATACAAGAAAGCTGATTATAGAAGGCAATTCAAAGTTGGTAGTGGAGTGGCTGCAAAAAGGAAGGACAAGGACTTTGAGTTTTTAATAATGAAAAGAAAAGGTTTAAGTGGTTAACACAAACTATGGATGTGG